TTTTTTTCTCTGACTCATCTCTATAAAAGCCCCCTGTTCCTGCTGATGGGCAGAGTCACGGCCTTTGGGACAGGATTTTGCTAGCAAAGCAATAACAGTCTTTTTCCTTTTTCTCAAAACCGTGTTCTTGTTTTTGGATTCGCATCCAGGACAAGGAAGGACTGAGCTTTCAGCTGCAAATTCAGAAAGCCCAGGTAGCAAAGAGGCAGCATGTGGTCACGTTGGACCTCAGTGCTTCTGGTGTCATAAAGTCCCCCTCTGAGGGCCTATGTGGGTGGCCTGGGACAGTGGTGGCAGAAGAGCGTAATAGCCTAGGGGCAGGGGACTCCAGTCTCCTGCCTCTCCCCCTGGAGCAGATTAGTGAGTGCAGGGCATTGGTCTCCTGATCACCCATAGCGTGGGTCCAAGTCACCAGGAGTCTGTCTTGCCACTGTACACTCCATGTCTGCTGCTAATAGAGCTGCTGACTTTTTATAATTATAGCTATATAATTTAAAACAAATAACCCTTTAAAGAAGGCTATCAGTACGGCTGCGAGTGCATTTCTTTCAAGCCACATGGGATTAGCTGCTTGTCAGGCTTACAGCTGTGCATCAACAGGGTTTCATTACGTCCCAGCCACACTTAGCAGAGGCTGTCTGACCTGGTGCACGAGTGTACCTGCTGTTGTACCTTCTGCTGTTCATCCTTCCCTCTGCACCCACTCTCCCAGGCTCCCTGAGGGTCTGCTGAAGCAGCGCACTCAAACGCAGGTGCCCTCCAGGAAGCTTGGCCTGGCCCCAAACTTCCAGATTTCTGCAATCAGCCAATTGAACACCAAGAAATAAATGCAGGAGGCTCAGCTCTGCCCCTAACCAAGGGCAGCTGCCTTCTCCAAATGACAATCACCTGAAGCCTAGGCGAATGGAAAAACTTTTATCAAAGCCTCTTGGACGGCCAAGGGTCTCAGTGTGTTTTCTTTTCTTTCCCTAGGTGTAACTCCTTCATTGAAAATTCCTCAGCTCTCAAGAAACCCCAGACCAAATTGAAGAAAATGCACAACTTAGGACACAAAAACAACAATCCTCCCAAAGAGCCCCAGCCTACAAGGGTGGAAGAGGTCTACAGGGCCCTGAAAAAGGGACTCAGGTAAGACACGGGTCCTGGTCAGGCACTTTCCCTTCTGTCATGACCGGGAGGAAAGCTAGCCTATGGGGTCACTTCCAGAAGGCTCTATCTGTAATAGGTGTTTTATTCTTCACTCTCATCAGGGAAGCTAGAATGAGTCCCGAGGATGTGACGCCTGTTGAGCTCACCTCCTCCATGCCGAAGGAGACCTGGAGTGGTCATCCATCAGCGATAGCCCCAGTTAGTGTTGGTTTCCACTCAACCATGGAGCTCAGGCTTATCCACTCTGTGGCAGAAGGGTTCTCCAACGTCCCGGAGCACATTACAGGGACTGTTGGCGCAGAGTGAGACCCTTCTGGCCTGTGATGAGGCATCCAAGTCAGCATTGTGTTTACAACGAAATTCTGAGAATCCGGACCCATTCCCCGGAGTCTTCCCTTCCCTCCCTAGGGGTTTTTCGTTTCTGGACTGTCGGACACGCAGGGACCTTCCTTTCTGATAATCTGGACAGTATGGGATACAATTGCTAAAGCTTTATAAAGACTAGGAAAGTACGGCGCCCCCTGACCCACCATGTCCAGATGTATTTTTCCCCCAGTGCTGGAGATGGAACCCAGGGCCTGATGCATGCTAGGCCAGCCCTCACCACTGAGCCACGCCCCAGCCAAAGTTCAGGTTCTTGACCTTCAGGCAGCAGGAAAAGGTCAGCGGCCACAGCAGTCATCCACCAGTGACAGTTCACGTTGATGTCTTGTCTTTGCAGTGAATACCTGGATGTTCACCAGACGGAGCTGGACAAGCTAACGACTCAGCTCAGAGACATGAAGAGAAACTCGCGCCTGGTAGGTGCACCCAGTCCTGTGGAAGTTGCCACCGTGGGGGTCTGGTTTGGCATCTTCGTACGGGATAGGGAGGGAGGAGCGTTGAAAAACACCAGATCCAAGGGGCAAAGTGCCATCTGCATTGTCCTGTGGGTCTCGAAAGGAAGAAGAGGACTTTCTTCTTCTTCGTGGTCTATTTTTAACACTCCTCAGTGTTTTCCTAGCAGGTGGGTAACAGGGAACAGGAGAAATCGCCAGAATCCCTCCACCTCCCAAATACCATCAGGAAAGGAAAAATTGGAGTTTTCCTGGCCTAGTGCTAGCACATTCACAATTCAGGAACTCGAACATTTACTTTATCTCCAATTGAAAAGAAAAAATGGCTCAGTGGTGCCAGGGAGGGAGTGAGTCTCCAGGGGGTGACTGGGTTGAGAGGCGTCCGCAGGCTGGTCCACTGAACCCTGAGCTGGACCTTCCTGAGTCCCAGTGAGTCTGGGAGCGCGTGTCTGGTTGGAGAGGTATTCCTAATGCCCTCCCTGCTGTAAAAGATTTTGTCCCCTGCTAAACGCTGTCATACCTCCATATTTGAAGGCATCAGAAAACCTAAGACCACGAGTTCCTCAGAGGTGCAGCTTGTACATGGAAAAGCTTTTGTCCTCTACCTTTTTAGGAGAAGGGCTAAAATGTTGATTGTCCTTTTCAAAGGCTCCCAGGCCAAAGGCTTTACCAAGATTACGTGGTTTTACTTTCTACTAGTGTTGCATAAATCACCTCAAATGTGGGACTCCCCATAGGATGACCTTCACCCTTGTGGAGGCCCTGGAGTATCCAAGATGGCGGCCAATGGTCCTCCTAGGGAACAGTGGTGAATGGGAGGAGGGGCTTCTCCAGGACCTCTTGTGCCATACAAAGCCTTCAGCGGGAGGACCTAGGGATGGAGCACCAATTATACTGTGGTGTTGTGAGCTCACAGGAAATGAGCTTTCATGAAAAACAATTAGTGAAAAGCATTATCTCCACCCTCAGGAATGCTTCTTAAGTACCAATTTTACTTGTCCAAACAGCAAGGCAAGTATCTTTCCAACCTATATACCACTGCTACATTTCATGTTAACATCACTTTTTATTCTTGTTAATGTTTTTGTGGTGTTGGGGATGAAACCCAGGGCTCCCGCATGTTAGGCAAGTGCTGTACCGCTGAACTGCACCCTAGCCTAACATCATTCATTTTTAAAAACTTTAAAAAGGGACATGAATTCACATACCCTCAATGCTTGGGAGAGGAATGCTGAAGGCAAGAGAAAACCTTAAATCCCACAGTGGGCAGAGAGAACTGGGTGCAGTTTGGGGAACACAGAGGGCACATAAATATTCACTCTTTAAAGTATTCTTACCAACATTTAAAATAATTGGATTTTTATCTCTTTTAAAGCTAATGTCAAAATTTCAGTAAAATTTTGCAGGACTGATCATTATATTTCACAGATATTGTGAAAATGCAGGTGAAACTATTGTATTAGTGTTTAACATTTTTGAGGAAGATACACTTTAATCCACATACTCTTTGTTTGTTTTTTAGGGTGTGCTGTATGACTTAGACAAGGTAAGTTATTCTGTGTTGGGGTGTTTTTGAAAGATAAAACTGAGTCCTTGACTAGATATTCATGCGGGAGACTCCAAGAGCTGTAGAATCTTACAGAACCAAGGATTTTTCTAATCTTGGAAAAATCCATGCTTTTGTCTAATGAGGGTGATAAATAAACACCATGATCTGCAGATTCAAGGAAGTGTTCAAGGTCATTTCCATAGAAATGCTCTGGATGGTAGGGTCTCCCGCTGTCTGGATAAGTTTGAGGACTTCTGAAGTGTTTGGAGCGCCTCAGCTGAATCATCTTTAAATATTATCTATCGTACTTGATCATGTCTCAGACTTCTTTGATTAAAAAATGCAACATTAATTTATGTGCCACTAAGAAAATAAAAATGAATGACTCCAGTTAAACTTAGACAGTTCTTTCTTTCCACTTAAAATCTGTGTCTTGTCCTAACTGTCAGAACTCTTTTTTTATGGCTATTTAGACATGAATTTCTTACTTTCTTTCCTTTAAGCTATCTATGGAATTGCTCTCTGGCCACACCTTTCTGCGTACACAATAATTTTATTTCTATGCTGAATCACAGCAGATTCTTTCTGAAGATATTTAAGGGCAATTAAATTCAATGCGTAGGAAAACAATAACATCTACAACTCAGAGGTGACACACGCAGCGCTGATTATCTGTGAGCACGCACAGGCAGTGGCCTGCAGCGGCCAGTGGAAATCATGAAGTGCTTCCCAACTTCCTAGATGCTAAACTATGCAGGGGAAAATCCCAGTGTGGAACACAGAGAATGCATTATGAGAATATTTGAATATAGTCCAACTTGACCCTGTTCTGCCAGAAATCCAATGCTGTCCATGGTTTGCCCTCCCTGACATTAAACACAAGGGTCACAATAATTAACCCAACTCCATCTTACAATATTTGATATTTTGAAAAATATTTTTCAAATGAATATTAAAGCATCTCTAAATAGTTATTAAAATAGGAGAGGGGAAATGTTTAGCATCAACTGTCTTTTTTTTTTTCTTCATAAGATAACAAAAAGAAATATTCACACAAACCTAAATCAATTGAATTGTGATTGACTAGACTTTTTCAAACTTCTTTTAATTCCAGCAAATTAAAACGATCGAGAGATACATGAGACGCCTGGAGTTTCACATTAGTAAGGTAATTGAAGTTCCTCTTGTCTTTGCTCCTGGTTCTCAGCTCTCGGTTACTGATCAATACACCTTTGGCCTGAGTGTAACATCTAGTCCAAGGAGAATTTCTTACCCAATTGACTCCTGAGCTGATTAGCAATTAAGGCCTACAACAAGCAGCAGGCAGGGAGGGGAACTAGGAGCCCAGAGCCTGAGAGCCCAGCACAGTTTGGCTCTGCTGTTATCCTGGTCTCTCCTGAAGGCCTGCTTCCTGTGTGGCAAACACGGCTGGGGGAGGACTTGTGGGCTCCATGTGGTGTGCTTTGAGATAAGAGTGGCCCAAACTGGCCCCAGCAAAAACTTTGCCCTCTGGTCCCTCGTACAGCTTGGCATCCCATGAACTCCTTCCTGAAGGCCCTTCAGTTATGTTAAAGACGGCTGTCGATGCCCTGACATCCGGCCCTGAACCCCATAAATACTTCTCTGGTGGTGCACCGGGTCTAGTGTGATGGACAGGACGATCACCCTGTGTTCTGGACGCTCTGAGGAATTATCAGTGCCAGTCAGGAGCTTCCCCTCTGGGGACATATCAAGCCGCCAGCACTTTCCATCTCCACCCACGCTCATCAGCCTCTCCTACCAGTGCAAGGCCTGGAGGATCTTAGCACATCTCCCTATTAGAAGTCAGAGCCTTGGACTCTGGCCCTTCCCACTCACTCTGTTGCTGTGTGGACCTTGCCTTTCCTCCCAGTGAAATGGGGCTGGGGAAGGACTAGTATCCAGTCCAGCTGATCCTAAGGATCTTTTTGTCTTGAAACCTGAATATGATATATGTATATGTATGTATTGCTGCCTTTATAAAGTACTACTGCCACTTTGAAAGATACTTATTGCCTAGGCAAATCTGAAGTTGCTTTTATTTCTGCCAAACTCAATAAATAAAACAATGGCATCCATGAGAAGGGACCTGCCCGGCTACATCAGAAGAGGTACCCACACACCGTTTTTAGAAGTTGTCTGGGGATCTCCCGCATCAGAACAATCCAGGGTGTTCGTGTAACCTATCAGATTGCTGGCCCAGCCCCAACCTCCTGAACCAGAATGCGGCCGGGGTGTCTCGGCAGGAAAGCCCTAGCTGAGATTTAAAGCACAGTAACCCACCAAGAGATCTGAGCAGCCTTGAACCTTCCAGTTCCCTCTGGTCGGAGAGGAGTCCCCTGGCCTGGAGACTGAAGGCTGCTGCCATTTCTTCTTTTGTGCGTGTCGTTCTGGAGATTGAACCCAGGGCTTTGTGCACGTGAGGCCAGCACTTTACCAGCTGAGCTAGATCCCCAGCCCAACTGGGGTCTATTCCGAGTCTAGGAGTTCCTCCAGCACAGATGAGTGAGTCCTTGGACTCAGGAGCAACAGAGAGTAACCTTGAGCTGACCCGCGGCCTTCCCACAGTGGCCTTTCAGGGTAAAGCACAGTTGCCATCCCATTTCAGCTTCTCATCTAGGGCACAGCCACCTCTTAGAGGAAACAAAGTTCATAGCGGAATGAAAATTCCAGTGGCGTAGGTAGCCCATGCCTGCCGGGAGCGCGGGCTTCCTTGTTTCTGCCCAGGCCAGGTGGTCCTGTTCTCTGCCTGACCACTCCCGGCGACTGTGGCTGGGTGGTGCTGGTGACTGAAGTCAGTGCAGGACTATAGACATTGTCAGGAATAACTAGAACGCATTCCAGCCTCAGCCCGGAGGGTGCACTCCGACGTCTGTCCAGGGCTGTCCTCTGTGAGAGGGGCTGTGTGGCTGCACCCCTGGCCTCCGCCCACTCTGTGCCAGTAGACTCTCAGGGTCAAGCCTCCCTGGGCTGATGGAGAATCACTGCCTTTGAAGTATGAAGTGTTGTCAGGTGTGTCTGGTGAATGTGATGAGTCAATTTAAGAGGGTCTATTACTACGAGTAAGGGTAGAAGAGGGGTGTTCATTTTCATTTTTTCATTGTATTTTTAAAATTATGGTGTGATTTGTATACAAGAGTTCCCAGTTCTCATGGGTTCCATTTAATAAGTTTTAACAATTAAATTCTTATCTTAAACCACTTAATAAATTTATTTTTTCTAATTATTGAGCTAAGACATCACAAAATAGATTTGTTATCAATAAACAGCCTGAAGTTCTTTTTTCAAAAAAATGCTGATGTGTAAAGATCACCTTCAGATAAGCTAGGAGGTGTGTATACAAGAGTTTTCACCCCAGATTGAAGCTAAAACCTCTTCCAGCCTTCGCTCCACTGACCGAAGCGCCTGTCCCAGTGGACCAGCTCTCTGAGCCCCACCCCAAAAGGCAGGGTGGTGTAACTTGATGGCAGGATCAGAGTGAAATCTGTTTGGACAGAAAACGGATCACAGTGGTAGAAGTACAAGTGACTGGTGTCTGTGGAAAGGAATAACAGAGACCCAGAGCACCTTAGGCTCATCCTGGTGACCCAGGTGACTTCTCCCAGGCCGGACAGCGACTCACGTGTCTGCCTTCCTGCTCGCACTCTGCAGGTGGACGAGCTCTACGAGGCCTACTGCATCCAGCGACGTCTCCAGGATGGCGCCAGCAAAATGAAGCAGGCCTTCGCAGCGTCCCCCGCCAGCAGAGCTGCCAGGGAGAGTCTGTCGGAGATCAGCCGGAGCTACAAGGAGTACACGGAGGTATGTGTACTGCTCACCTGCTTGCTGGCCGGCCCCACCTGGCCTGACCCCACCTGGGCAAATAGGGACCCACACTCATTCCGTGATCAGTGTTAACCTGAAAATAGAAAATACATGCTAGCGAGGCAATAGTGGAATTGTTTAAAATAAACAGGCCACAGTGCTCTGATTTTGTCACTTAAATGCATTTCCAAATATTCTAGTGTAGAATCCAACCTAGCTTTACCCTGTTGAAGAGCCCTTGTGGCCAAGGTGGCTACGGTGGGGGTCAGGGCTGCGCATCAGTAGTCCTCCTGCCTGCAACTCTGTGTGTGAGAGAGACTTTTATCTCCAAGGAGACAAGATAAAGAGCCGTGAACAGAAGTGTGCTGTTGTGAGTCCTGGTTGACAGTCTCTGGGGCCAGGCGCTCCGGGGGTCACCTGATACCAATGTCCTTGATGAAGTGGCTGAATTATTAAACTGCACTTCTCACTATCCCTTGGGCCTTTATTCAGAGATCCGATTTCATGAATGAAGTCATCGCCTGGCCTGACCAGGGCGTGTTGGACAAGCCCCAGGGCTGGGCATCTGCTTCGGCATGGCTTTGTGCACACCCTGCCCACTGCCTCCTCTTCTGAACCATGCTTCCCTCTCCACAGAGTCTAAAACAGTTCACTTCTTACCTAAACTTTCCTTTTCAAAATAATGTTTTTAATGCATAAATCGGATAGGAATTCAAAGAATAAAATCATACATTGAAATAATTATTTCCATATTGTCAATACAGTTGTCACAATATTTTAAAAGTCAAGTGTGTGGTATAGTGTGGTGCTACTGCTCTATTAATACTAAGAGCTAGTAAGATTTCAAGGCAGGAAAAAATATATATGGTTTCTTAAAGTCATCTGTAAGACATGAGGTGACACCAACTCGTGATTGCTGTCTGGGGGTCAAGGTCACACAGGGTGCCACTGGTACTGCTGTGGCTTCTTTCTACACGCATGACGTGGATGTCTTGGGCCAAGTTTGGTGGATGTGATTCCTCCTACTCACCCCACCCAAGTGCACGGAACCAGAGGTAAAGACCCCAGCTCAGAAGCATCCCTGGCCCGTAAGTCCTTCTTTCTGGAGATCCCTGAAATCAAAAGAGCAGTTCCAATAAGAAGGCTGCTCGTAGCACAGAGGCAGAGAACCTACCGCAGCCGCAGAGGGCGTTTCGGAAACACCCAGCCTGGCTCAAGTGCCAGGGCATGGGGTTGTGACTTTGCTCAGAGTCAAAGGTGTGGGGCTCAGTTTCGGCGAGAGGAAGGGCGCCTTAGAGGAGAAAGTCGACCAGGACTTGGTGGCTGCGTGCCTCTCTTGACATTTCTGTGGCGTATGCCCTTGCCACCGCAAACGCCAGGATTTGACCGTGGAGGATCCGACGCTGGCTGCTCTGATGAGGTCCTCAGACACGGGGGTTAGGATGGGAGGGATGTGCCCACCCACATGCTGCTGCCGTGCTTCCCTCAACCTCAGCCTGAGGAGCGGACCCTCGTCAGACCCAGGAATCATTTTGGGCGGGGGGCTATGGCACTGCAGCAGGAGGCCTGCCTCGCCCACCCGAGCAGAGTTGAGTTCCTGTGCTCTTTTTGCCCCCGGTTTTTATTTAAAAAATCTAAACCTATGGAAAAGTTGAAAGACTAGTGTATTGAAGACCAGACCCCGTACCTAGGTTTTCCCGCGGGTAACGTCTTGTCGTATTCTCTCCCTCTCATGGGATTAGTTTTTCTTCCAAGTCACTTGAGAATAAGATATCGTGACATTTCATTTCATAAATATGTTAGCATGGATCTCTTCTTAAAAATCTTTTTCATTGATAAGTAAAAACTTTATGTACGGTATTCAGCATTATGTTTTCAAATATGTATGCTGTAGAATAGGTAACTCAGGCCACTTAACACATGGCATCTCTCTCTCTGTCTCTCTCTCTCTCTCTCTCTCTCCTTCCCTCTCTCTCTCTCTCTCTCTGCATCTCTGCAGTGCTGGGGATTGAACCCAGGGGCCATGGATCTCTTAATAGTAACAGTGCATCTTCTGCATAACCACATTCCATTGCAACTAAGAAAATTGACAGTCCTCCTGTAAAATTATCTAACATCTCGTCCACTTTCAAGTTTCTCCTATTAAGCCCATTGATGCCTTTTATAGCTACTTTAGTTTATTTGCTTAATTTTCAAATCGAGTTGGAATCAAGGTCAAGGTATTACAATTGGATACTATGTCTCTTCCCTCTCTTTAGAATTTGTTTCCCCATGATACTGTGTGTGTGTGTGTGTGTGTGTGTGTGAGTCCAAGCCAGTTCTCATAGAATATCCACATTCTGAATTTGTTTTTGGTATAATTGGACTTGTTCATCAATGCCTGGATGTCCTGCTTAGCCTCAGATTAAACATTTGGCAAGAATGTTTCAAAGGCTGTGCTGTGCCACTCCCGTCATTCATTCAGGGCCTGCTGTGTATTAAAATGACCTCTGCTTTGAGCGCCTGGGAAAGAAGGCCACTCTAATGCCCCTCTGCTTTCTGCCCCACAGAATATGTGTGCCCTGGAAGCGGAGCTGGAGAATCTGCTGGGGGAGTTCTCCATCAAGATGAAAGGTAATCCTTCCCCATCGGGGAGAGTACTCTGCAGAGCTCCCTGAGGTCTGAGACACATGCTCCTGTCTCCTTGTACAGACAGGGCCGCCCATGCTCAGCCCTACCCACAGTGTTAGCATATCCGTGCTTCTCGTCCTGAGTCTTGCCTTCAGCCTTAAAAAAGTACATTCATTATCCGAGAACCTCAAACATACACAAAGGTGGAGAGAACATCACAATGAACCTTCATAAACACACACCCATCACCTAGATTTAGTAATTAGCAGACTTTGCCTGATCTGTTTTCTTGTGTTTGTTTTCCCTTTGATGAAGCAGAAGTCCTTTGATGAAATGAAACCTAGTTCTGTCAGGCTGCCCTGGTACTCCAGTGTGCATGTCTTGAAGAACAGGGCCATCTTATTATAGCTGTGGGCTGAGTCCTGTCACATTACCACATCTAACAAAGTCAGCAGGCCCGATGGTAATCCATTTCCTTATTGAATTCTCCCAGTCCTCTTACAGCCAGTTTGCTTGGGTTAGGATCAGGACCATACATCATGAATAGTTGGTGGGTAGACCTTTAGGTTTCCTTTAATCTGAGACGAACCCATGCCCCCTTTCCCCTCCGTGGTCTGGTAGAAGACCCCGCTGGGCCAGTGTCTTACTTCCAGACTTGCCGGCTGGCCTCCTTGCCGTGTGGTTGAACCGCTCCTTTACTCCCGTGTGTCTGTAAACTACCACCCATCGTTTAGTCACAGAGGACCACGCCTTTGTAGCGTTCATTCCAGAAAGTTCCATTCTAGAAGCACCATTGATTTATACCAGAGCATCTTCAGAACAAAAGGGAGGTCTGGCTATAGATGGAACCGGCCCAGGGGTCACCAGATCCACAGCTCGGTGGCCAGGCAGGAGGCCCGTTTCTGTTTGACTGCAGCCCAGGGCTGGTGCTTAGCCTTCTGTTTTCTCCTGGGCTTTCTAAGTAGCTTGATCCCTGGGCTGTTAATGGGGATTTAGTCACCCTCTTGTCTACTTTCTGCAATTAGGGAAGTTAAGAAGGCAGACTTCTTTAAAGAGTGCTCAACAGGAGAGCTTCATTACCAATGAGTCTCCTACCTCTGGAGGCGCACTGTGCCCTGTGGGTGGAGTGAGGACCTCTGAGTGGTACACCCTGGCCCTCCGCTCCCCGGTGGTGCTGCGGACTTGTTCTCAGAACCCCTGAGTCCTGTTCAGCCTCGGGCGTCTGCACCTCTCCGGGTTTTCAGTTCTGTTCTCTTCCTGGGGACTTTCCAGACTCTCCACCTGAGTCAGTGGTTCAAAGCCCCTTGCAGAAAGCCAGAGCACATGGCGCTGGGGTGGGGTCCTGGAGGATGTTTTTAACTTTGAGGATGCTGATGTCAGCAGCCAGCACCACCCCTGTGGACCCGCCACACCAGTACAGGGTGGGCCCTGCTGCTCCTGTTTCCCATACTCATTTTTGGTGAGAGGGAAAATGTCTTCATTTCCTACATGGGAAATGAGGGCTCAGGGAGCTTCAGTGATTGGTCCCAGAAGTGACACAGTCAGTCGGTGTTGAACTTGAAACTGAATTCCAGGCTCTTGGCTCCTGCTGCCCCGGCCCAGCCACACACTGTGAGGAAGTTCTTGCTCAAAGGGTGGTCTCTGCTAGGGGAGGTTCCCCACCCCACACAGACAGCTTGGGAGTGAGGGAGGGGCTGCCCACCCACCCACATGGTCCTCAGGGCTGGTTGACAGCCGTGGGTGGCATTGGGGCCCGAGAATCACCCTGCTGCTACCAGAGCTAGGGAGGTGGGCATGGCGATGGGCTGCTGACCTCCAGCTCCCGCCTGGCCCAGGGGTTTCTCCCAAGGCGCTCAGACTCTGCTTTCCTAATGTAACATAAAAGCCGGAGGCCACATCTGTGCAGCCTTTGGAGGGTAACACCCTGTAGATACCCACCCCTCCCTGCAGAAAGGGCAAGGGAGGCCCTGCTTGCTGCCAAGAAATCCTAGCTCTTTGCCAGGGTGGATTTCTTCTGTTACTCGTTCTGGTAAAAATGACCACCCCAACGCAGGCCTCGACCAACTGAAGCTGTTGCACGATACCCTCAGACCAGGCAGCCCTGACTTCCTCCCACCACACCCTTCCCACTTCCCCTCCTGCCTCACCCCAGCATGCACTAACAACCATGGCAGGACCCCGGTGACAGCCACAGTGGGGAAAGTGCTCCTGGGCGCCTCATGTTGGTCCCTGGCCTGAGCTCCACAAGAGCTCCCGGGGAAGTGGAGAGTGAGCCAGGGCACTTAATTGAATGGAGTAAATGACCAGCTGGACCAATAACAGGACCAGATGGCTGTGGAGGCCGGAGGGGAGGCAGGACGAGTGGGGAGGATGGAAGGAGGCTTCACAGTGTCACCCGTGAATTAGAATCAGCAGGACTGGAGTAGCACTCACCAAAGCAGGGAAGCTGCTTCCAAAATGACAGGACACGGTTCTAGCAACATGAATTCTACTGTCATGTGCAGCTAAAAGGGACCAATGATTTAAAAACAACCAAAAAAAGATGACAGGACAGACATAGTGGTGCACGCCTATAACCCCAGCCACTTAGGAGGCTGAGGCAGGAGGATCCCAAGCTCAAGGCCAGACTCAGCAACTTAGCAAGAACCTGCCTCAAAATAAAAAATAAGAAAGGCTGAGTTTGTAGCTCCCTGGTAGGATGCCCCGGGGTTCAATCCCCAGTAATAAATAAATAAATAAATAAATAAATAAATAAATAAAAACAGAAGAAGGAGCCTGAGAAAAGACCTGGGCGGCAGAGCGCTTGTCGGGAGGTGTGGGCAGTTCTTTGGGGCCAGATTGTGAAATGCCGGGGATGCCCCTGCGGAGAGAGCCCTAGCTCCGAGACCGGGGACCAGGATGGAGGTTCCTTGGGGAGAACCCGTTTCCTCCCGATGACCCCAGGCTAGTTAAGTTCCAAGCCCGCGTCCTGAAGTCTGGGCTAACTCCGTCAGCTCTGGGGCCCAGGGGGCCTCGGGAGAGCTGGTCAGCAAGTCAGTAAGGCTGACGCGGAGCCGCCGTCAGCCACGGGCAGTGTCCCAGGGGCAGGAAGGGTGACTCTTGAGGAGGAAGATCCGGTGCAAGCGGGAGAAGCCGTGAAGGCGTTCTGGCCCGTCCACGTCTGAGCACAGGCCACCCATGGGCAGCTGCGCCCCGCGGCTCCTACCCTCCACTGAGGCTGTGAAGAGCTAGTGTGTCAGGAGCCAGTGAAGCCGCAGAGGGTTGGAGAGGGTGCAGTGCTCACGAGTCCCCTGGGCCGCGGCCTCCCTCCACTCGCCCCTCGGGGCTCACGCCAGATGGCCTCAGAGTGGTCCTGAGGAGAACTTCCCAGTGCAACAGTGATCCCCAAACTGCAGGAGGAGAAACGAAACGTTCCGCTTTCCTGACTGGGAACGGGAGCCCCACGTGCCCGAGTGTGCCAGGAGCCGACAGCCCACGCGCTGCCACTGCCAGGCGAGTGCACCTGCACACACAGCAGAGCTTCAGGGAGCTCTGGCCAGGGCCACGGCCTCCTGTGGCCTTTCTGCTGCGTCCTTGCTGTAATCAGAGTCTCTGTGACGCCTGGACAAGCAGTTCCAGGAAAGTGCTTAATACTTGGATTACATCAGAGAAGTCATCACTGTGTACCTTTCTCCCTCAGTGAAGGTCTTCAGATACGAAATTTCTGGCAATATTGAAAGCGGGGGAAAAGTCAAAGGATTTTCCCCTTTCCTCACCTTTATCTAGCAACCATAGCGGGCCAGTTTCTTTTTAACCAAGCTTTTATTGTAGTTGCACACATAAACAGGCTATGAATCAGTCCCAAACTCATTTGCAGGCTTTTCTTTAAAAGCACTTTGGGTTTTTATTAGAATTAGCATGTCAAGCTTTGGATTTGTGAAAGGCAGCCAATTATGCTTTCCTTCAGAAGTATGTTTTTTAAAGACTCAGGGCCCTAAATTACTAGTGAAAATGGGTTTCTTTAATTCTGCTCTTAATTCAGTTAAGTCCTAAGTGCCTTGCCACCTTCTAACTATTAATAAAAGCTCTTCTGAATGGACCACTGGCTGGGGCACTGGACAAGCTGGTGAGTTGCTGCCACCTACTGACGGCTGCTGGCAACAGCAGGTTCTTTGAGCGCTTCTCTAGCCTTTGCTGTCTTAACCCCAGCCATCAGTGGGGTGGAAGAGCTGTGTCCTGTAGAGTCTCAGTTTGTTACCCAGCTCTTGGTAAAGGAGAGGCACCTGGTGACATGATCCCTGTGTTCTTCAGATGGCTAAATTCATGTTGGATGCAAAAAGAACCCAGAATACAAAGACTATAAATGTCGAGGTGAGGAGGCAGAGGAAGCAGGGACCCGTTAGTTACTTGGACATCTTTTCTGTGTTATGGATCTAAGAATCACAGGGCTGTTTTCTACCAGCTCATCAAAATCAGGGCTGCAACTGAGAAATCACTGGATAAACAGAAACAGGATGTTTGTGTCTTCTTGAATTCCTGCAGCGACTTTTGAAAGTTGTGCCTTATAATTTTTAAAACATTGAGAAGCGGGGCATGGTGGCACAGGCCTGTAATCCCAGCGGCTCAGGAGGCTGAGGCAGGAAGATCGTGAGTTCAAAGCCAGCTTCAGTAAAAGCAGGCACTAAGCAACTCAGGGAGACCCTGTCTCTAAATAAAATACAAAATAGGGCTGGGGATGTGGCTCAGTGGTTGAGTGCCCCTGAGTTCATTCCCCTTCCCCCCTCAAAAAAAATTGAGAAATATATCCCATAAATTAAAAATATACATAATTGCTCTACCCAGTACTAAACTTTGTTAAAATGATCATAAATACCCAACAAGCCTTTTCCATGTGTTTATGTTGACTACCAATATGTTAGTAGCTCTTTTATCTTTTTTGTTACAAAATAATTAATCACTTGATCTTTTCTTTCTTTCTTTTTTTTTAACTTTTTAGTTGTCATCAGAGCTTTATTTTATTTATTTATATGTGGTGCAGAGAATTGAACCCAGGGCCTCACACATGGTAGGCTAGTGCTCTACCACTGGGCCACAACCCCAACTCAATCACATGATCTTTTGAAAATCAAATAGAAATTACATATTTAATAGGAAGGAATCAAATATTTGTCATCAAATATTTAACTTTCTCCCCGATTCCACCTGCCAGAGATAGTTATTCCTAAGTGTTGGTCAGTTTTTCTAGATTTGTTCCTTTGGATTCATTTATATGTAGTTGAGATAAGACTCTTCATGACACTTTGCATTCTGCCGTATTTTTTAATTACAAATATTGCCTTTTATTAAAACTTCACTGCAAACATTTGTACTAAATTTTTAATTGGAATTTTTTAAATTTGTAGTTGTAGATGGACACAATGCCTTTATTTAATTTATTTATTTATATGTGGTGCTGAGGATTGAACCCAGTGCTTCACATATGCGAGGCAAAGCACTCTGCCACTGAGCCACAACTTCAGCCCTTAATTGGAAGTTTTATCACAGATATTTTTAACCAGAAAGTTAAAAAGTGACAAAGATTTTTTTCCCCATTTCTATTGGATTTATTTAGTTCCTTGATTAAAATTTTCAGACTCTGGGTCCCTGTCAGTATAAAGGCTTTGCTTTATGATTGGCAAGAAGCAGCCCACTGAAGCCAGAGCAGCTGGAGCTGGGATTACCAATCAGCCTCTGCCCTGAGCTCCGTGCCCTGGGTCGGGATGCGCCTTTCTCCCGCTCCATACTCAGGCTTGACACACAGTAGGCCTTTCAGAAAAACTCTGAGGGGCTGAGAGCACAGCTCAGTGGTAGAGCACTGGTCTAGAATGTCTGAGACCGAGGGTCCAATTCCTAGCACCTCCCAAAAAGAAAAAAAGGGTGGTGGAACGCACAGGCCCCTTGCCCAGTCCCACCTGCCTGCAGAGCAGGGCCACCTTGCTGTGACGAAGTTTGCTGTCACTGCCGCTCTCCTTCTGTCCTGCAGAAGATGAAAGGCAGTCTGTCTCTCTTTATTTTTGATTTTAATTATGTAAGGAATACATTCTCATAAAAACACAAAATAAGGAAAAAAGCAAAGATCTTTTGTCATTTCTGCTTTGCTGTGTGCTTCCCTGATGGATATTAATTTGCTGCAGATCATATTTGTTTGTACTCAAGATTGAACCCAGGTGTGCTCTACCACTGATCTACATCCCCTTTTTATTTTTATTATTTTTTTAAATTTTGAGACCAGGTCTCTCTAAGTTACTAAGGCTTGTCCTCAAACTTGTAATCCTCCAGCTTCAGCCTCCCAAGCCACTGGGATTATAGGCATGCACCACTGTGCCTGGGGAGAGGCCATCTTTTAAATGAATAGTATACATCATGTGCTTAATACATGGGTATGTAACCCTTACCACATTCGAAGCACCTACTGTGTGCCAGATACCATCTGTTTCCTTACCAACAATTTTATAAGGTGGACATTGTTATCTCTATTTTAAAGGTGAAGAAACAGGGTTAGGTAAATTATCTAGGGTGGGCTAGCTGATAGGTAGCACAGAAAGGAGCCTCACTTTAATCTGTCTTCCAGTTCGCAGGCCCTCGCCTGCTCTAACCGTGTTTTGTTCCATACTGTGGGTATCTGGGAAATCTTTCCTGATTTCCAAATTGTTACCCTCATGCATGGTGCAGACCCTCGCCCATAGCAAGCTCTGGGTACATGTTGATAGAAAGAAGAAAGAGACTGGCCAGAGCCAGCGTTCCCGGACGTCCAGGAGGGGCCGTGTAGCTTGCCGACATTTGGTTTTGCTGCTGCAGATAGAGAGCGTGCCAGGCCTCCGATGGAGCGGGTCCTTTCAGAAATGGCCAGAGCCGGGAGGCCACCTCTCCCCTCTGCGGGTGCAGGTTGCTGCCAGGTGGAGGCTGGTTTGATTGGTCTTAATCACTAGTTTGTGTGAATGCAGCAATTTCATAATGCAGTGGATGGCAGCATCAGGGTGCTGGGTGGGAAGGGCTGGGCTGGAGCCTTAACTGGGAAGCCCACGGAAACCTCCGTCTCACAACAGGAAGGAAGACCAGACGCCCTTTATTTTCATGGGAGCATGTGCACAAACAAGTGAGGGTGTCTTTCGGGCCCCCATGCCCTGACCCTGGAACCTGCCGAGGTGCCCAGAACTCTAGCCGCCCTGGAGCAGTGTCCCTGCCCCAGAAACCCTCTCCCCTCCCCCCCTCAAGGAATGTCCCTCCAGCCACCATAGATGGGAGTCCCAAAAAAGCTGTTCCACGCAGATGGCCCCAAAAATGTTATCTGAGGTTTGCCAAAGTGTGGCACTGCACCTGGATCTCTCAGGGTGCGGCCTGGGCCTCGGGGACGCACCTTCAGCACCTCACGTCCTAACTGCTTGCCTGCAGGTCTGGCCGGCTTCGCGCGCCTCTGCCCTGGAGACCAGTACGAAGTGAGTATTCTCTGATCCACAGGTGGGGACTGAAGACCTGAGGGGCCTGAAGACCTGAGGGGCCAGGGCTAGTGGTATTGCTTTGCTTCTGGAGTGTTGCTTATTTTTATTTGGAGAAACATTCTAAGCCCATGAGAAGATCTGGAGATGGGCGAAGACCTGCCCCCTGCCCTTTCCCTGGACTCCCCTCTTTTAACCTTGTGCCACAGTGGCTTAGTTATCACTGCTGCCCTCGAGCCCCTACGATTCAGCTGCGCTGCTTTAGAGTAGGATGCCTCCCACCTGGCCCTCCAGCCTGGCCCTTTAGCCCAGCCTCCCGCCTGGCCCTCCAGCCTGGCCCTCCAGCCTGGCCCTCCCGCCTGGTGTCCTCCGGGGAGTGGGAGGATGGTCCGCACAGCAGTGCACAGCTCCCAGAGTGGCTCACTCTGGCTCTTGTCTTCTTATACAGTCTGTGTTCAGATTCTGCGCATGCCCCAGAATTGTACTTCGTAGCAGTTTTTTTTCCCCCTAATCGAAGACCTAATCCAGGACCGTGACCTTAAGTGTAATGACTGAAGAAGGATAGAAACGCAGGCCTGTCCATACAAACACCAACTCCACGGAGTACAAAGTCCTTTCCCGTGTTCCCCTTCTCAAGAGACCTCACGTAATGATGTGTCCACCTCCTCCAGTGCCCTCTGCCTGACCAGGGAGAGCCTGCACAGCCCCCCAGAGCATGTGTGGGTCACAGCCTTGCCAGCTTGCTTGTCACCCAGGGGCAGGTGTCTCCAGGCAGGTTTTAGGGATGGGCTCTGGTCTCTTGGAGGATCAGGGTCCTGGAGGACTAGTCCCTCGGCTGTTCTACTGACACAGAAGAAATGAGGGGGGAACCAAGGGCCAGGGCCGGGACTTTACTGAAGACCCTCCAGGCCTGTCTTGGGGAAGCAGAGGTGCCCCCTCTAACATGCCCCTTCCCCAGTCACGGTCAAGACAGGCGGCTGGGGTGATGGGGGCCGCCCTTGCGGGCCTCCCTGCCCTGTCCTGGTGTGGGGGAGCGAGCAGGCAGTGGAGCCTGAGGCCTGGGCATGTCTGCCCCCAGGTCTTCATGAAGTGCGGCCGGCAGAGGTGGAAGCTGAAGGGCAAGATAGAGGTCAACGGCAAACAGAGCTGGGATGGGGAGGAGACCGTCTTCCTGCCCCTGATCCTCGGGTTCATTTCCATCAAGGTCAGTACTGCCCCTGCCTCTGGTGGTCTTCCTGGTGCCAAGTTGGACGATCCGTCAGGGGCGACCTTTCCCTAAGACTTCTGCCATCTCACAGGCTCCTGTCCCCACAAGTCTGTGACAAGGACAGCTGCCCTTGTCAGAAAGTGAGCAGAGCAGCCCTGAGATGGGCTTTTGAGATACCTGCCTCCGGTGGCAGACTGTCTCTTTCTGAAAGAAGCCACCAGCTGGTTCAGAAAAAGGCAAAGGGGGAGCCCATTCCCTGTTCTCTCTGCCTGTCTTCCTGCCAGGTCACAGAGCTCAAAGGGCTGGCGACTCACCTCCTGGTGGGCAGCGTGACCTGTGAGACCAAAGAGCTGTTTGCAGCCCGACCGCAAGTGGTGGCCGTGGACATCAACGACCTGGGAACCATCAAGCTGAACCTGGAAATCACCTGGTAGTAAGTGGCCCTTTTCCTGTCGTCCCGGGGCAGCGTGAGCTGCAGGTGCTGGGAGGCCGGTGTGGACGTCGGCAGAGCCTGTTGGAGCAGACCGAGGGGCTGCAGCAGACCTGCTGGGCGAGGGCCTGTGGATAAGCTGGCCGTGGCCCTGCTCCCCTCCCCTTCTCCCTACTTTAAGCCTCTTACTCTGCCTCTTCCCTCCCTCTTTACCTGCAAACAGAGACACCAAGTATCATGGCTCCTAAGCAAACCACTGGGAGCTACAGTAAACTGTCCAGAGAGGGAGGCTTTGCCCTCAGGCGGTCCCTGCTTAGCCTTCTTACCCATGGACTTCACTTCCCGCTGCCCTGGAGGACTGCAAGTGCCCTCTAGGCGTCCTTTACTGAAATAGAGCATTTCCACAGGCAAGAGGCAGCTCTTGTAAAATTTACAGGTGGCTTTCCAGGGTCTCCTCCTGCCGTCCACACTGGCTGTCATGTCACTGGCCCACCCAGGGACATTCGGGGCCTCCCTTCCACGTGGGAGTCGGGGTGGACATGGCCAAGACCCCGCTGTCTCTCTAGGAAACGTTGCCAGCCTTTGCCCAGCCCTGCCCTCCTGGCCAGAGCAGCCCCTGACCTCACAGAGCAGGCCATCCTGCTGGATGACCAGCAGCATCCCCGCGAGCAGGCTGCCGTCCTCGGCGGCTCGTGGGGGGCTCTGGCGACTGAAAGTGGTGGGATTCTGTTTTGGAGTTTTTCTTCAGAATCAAACAGCAGTCTGTTCCTGGCTCGAACTGTTCAGGGTCTCGCCCGACAGAGCTCGGGGATTTTCACAACTTCCCCAACATCAGGTGACATGGGGGCCAGCTTTAGTGAGTCCCCGTTTCTAGGCTCACGAGGACACAGACCACCCAGGCCAGGAGGGAACTGGTGCTCACAGCTGGGATCACTTGTGGTCCCTCGGGGAGCTCTGGATTCCGTCCTCTGCTCCACTTTCTTTCTTCTTGGCTTATTTTCTGACAAGCAGTTTGGCCAAAACCAGCCCAGCGCCCTGTTTTGTGTTGACCTAAAGAGGTGCTCCCTGGGCCTGCGGTCCTGCGGTCACAAGTGACCAATGGGCGGCTGCCTGTGGTTTTGCAGTCCCTTTGACGTGGAGGACACGACCCCATCCTCGGGGGGTGCGGGGAACAAGACGGCAGCGCTGCAGAGGAGGATGTCCATGTACAGCCAGGGCACCCCGGAGACGCCCACCTTCACAGACCACTCCTTCTTTGTAAGTTCCGTGTGACTCGGGGGTAGCAGTTGTGTCTGAGTCGTGCTTGTGCCCAGCACTTGAGAGGCCCAGCGGCGGGTGTTGGGGTTCTCAGGGACGCCTACTCACGCCATTCTTCAAGGTCTTCCTGGCCGAGGGCTGGCTGAGGAAGCCACCTCCCCGTCGCCTTGGGTCCGTGTACAGTGGTCCCTGGTCCTGCCTCTCCTTCCTCCCTGTCCTTACCTACTGCTGGACCAGCACTGGGTAGACGGTGCCAGAGGTTCTCCAGCATTAGTCGTGGAGAGAAGTGGACGTAGGTCCGGGCCTCGGCCCACCTGCCAGCAAGCCAGGGTAACGCAGTAACCTGATTCTCTCCACTCGCCCCGCCCCACGCCCTACTCTGACTTCAGAGGAGCCGGCTGCGTCCCTCTGCGGACAGGCCGGGGTGGCTGTCTGTCTTGAGCGCCTCCAGGGACTCTCTCTTTGCCAAGCTGCACCGCAGCCGCTCTCTCAGGGACCTGCCCTCCCTCAGCCTGAGCCCCGTGGCTGTGCTAGAGTTCTATGTGAGTGTGGCCCGCCCGGGTGACGTGCCTGACTTCGCGACTTCAGGGCCCATTGCATGGTGCTTCTGCATGTCCCTTCTTTTTCTTCTGTCACCGGGGTTGGACCCAGGACCTCGGCTGCAGCTCGCACTCTGGCCCTGAGCCACCCCGGCCTTCCTGTGTGTCTTCTCTCACCTCCCTGTTGTTCTCCAGGCTGGCTGTGCATGCAACTTGTGTGAATTCTCCTTAGATAAGCCCTGTCTTGTGCTGTGGTTTTTCTCCACTGTGGCAAAGATATCCATGGTAACCAGATTTTTATTTTTAAAAGCACAGCTATCCTTAAAAGCAAAGGAGGTTTTATTTCAGAAAGTATCAGCCTTTCAAAGACTGGCCTTCAAGTCTTTGAAGGACTTAGACTGATTTTACTAGCATTGTGTCTATCTAAAGAGGTTGTGGGCCTTGGTTTATCATAGCATGTTAATTCTTCAATGCTGTGGTAGAAGAAACAGGGATACAGCAGGCTGCTTACTTTATATGAGTGACACATGGTGTCCTAAGAGAATACGTGTGTACTTGTACATACATGGAATCTTCTGTTCTTTTCAGACACATAAAGTCATCTTTGAATGTCCAGGGAGAAGAAGATGAAGTCTTCAGGCTAATAGCAATGTCATCATAGTAATAATTGCATCTTATTCACTGAACCAAAAAGCACAGATGAAAAGGATGAGGGTAAACTCTGGTGGAGTTTCAGAGGAAAATCACAAGACTGTATGGGGGAATGTACACAGAGTCATACATAAGACGCCATAGAGCTCACTCAGCTGCCCACCTAACTGTCCATGCAGTGCTTATGCACACTCAGATGCCACGGGTTGGAGGGTTTGGGAGGTCAGTAGGGTTTCAGAGCATGTTTAAACAGGAGCAAGGTTACTAAAGCTCAACGGCTTCGTGTAGCCTTGTGGATGCACCTGAAGTCCCCAAAATGGCCATCCTCATCCCACCCAGCCCACCTTCCAGGCCCATCTCTTACCCTCCACCCACTGTCCTCCAAACTTACCACGTCCCCCCAGGATCTGGTATCTTTGCATACATTGTCCCTGTCCTCTCGCCATCCTCTCCTTCACTGTATTGAAGGCTGGATGCAGGTCCTCTCTCGGGCAGCACCTCTCCCCCTGCTGGGACACTTAGACACCAAGGTAAAATCAACCCAGTCAAGAACAGAAGAGTGACGTTTACTTGGGTCTTGTGAGGATGGCGATACTTAGAGACAGAACTCAGGCAGCCTTAGAAATGCTCAGCTTGAACTCCCAGGGCAGGGAGGGGGCGTTAACTACACCTCTCCTTCATCAAGAATTGTGAAGGCCAGGACATGGGGCCTGCTGAGGGTCTGAGTGCATGTGCAGGGGCATATCCTGCAGCAGCAGGGGCACGGACACCTCTGCGAGTAGATGTGACCTGTCTTGGGTCCGCTCCTGTTTGGCTTGCTGGAATGTTTTATGAGAATTGTCATTTTATATATAAGTAAAACAGGCACTGGCCTGATGATGACCACTTACAGTCATTCCTGGTGTCTGCAGCAGGTCCCAGACACATAAAGTCATCTTTGAATGTCCAGGGAGAAGAAGATGAAGTCTTCAGGCTAATAGCAATGTCATCATAGTAATAATTGTGATACCAAAATACAGGGATGCCCAGCCCCTCGCAGGACACAGTGTAGCATGTGCATGTAACTTCACACATCCCCCATGCACTGTAAACCCTCTCTGGGTTACTTCTAACATCTGATGCTATGCAAAGGCTCGATCTTACACTGTACTGTTTAGGGAATAAGACAAGAAGAAAATGTATGTGTTCAATACATATTTTTTCAAGTATTTTCAGTGTTTGGTTGTCTCTGCATGTGCAGAACTCATGGACACAAAGGTGATTTAAAAATCCAATCTGGAATGCAGAAAAACCAGCCATGATGAAGGAGTTAGATAACTAGAAAACACAGAGCGGCATTTGGGCACTCTACACAGATGCAGCTAGGGAAGCTGGCTTAGCGAGTGCAGCACCAGCGTGAATAAATCGACCCTCTGCAGACTTCCACTCCCCGCTGCAGAGCCTGTCGGGGACACAGCCTGCATCTGCTTGCATCTAGACACGTTGGGAACCTGGGGGGTGCCTCATGGAAGATAGGTGTTTGTTTCTTAGTCTTGTTCAATCATTTCTAGAGAAGCTATGCAAATGTATGGTTGACCTTGAAGTATTTATGGCATGTTTACTAAATTAATAAAACATTTTCAAGAGTCTGGGGCTTGTGGGTAGAGATTTTCAAAGCATAATTTTTGAGAACCAAAGTAGAACAAAGCATCACATCCTTGAAGCAAAGTAGCAAGAATGTTGGGAAGTCCTTTAAGGTCGATGCCAAGAGGAAAACAAAACATTCATAGTCTTACTCAAAGTATGGCTGCCAAATACTGTGAGATCCTGGGATTGAGAACACAAGCAACCATCCCACCCCAATCCTAACTGCTTCTTGTGGAAAATGTCAGACCTAAGAATAGGCACCGTGAACTTTCACCTAAATTCAGCTGGACAGTTTGCAAGGGCTTGTTTTCTTTAATGTGAAAGTTCTAGCTCTTTCATGTTGACTCCTTACATCTTGTCTGAAAACAAACCCTGCCAGATGCATCATTTGTATTGAAAATAACGGCTGTCTTTATCCTCAGGCGAATCTGTCCGATGACATCTTTGAAACTGGGAAGACGGCGGAGGAGCCAAGGCCACTCTCCCTCAGCTCCTGTGACCTGCCCAATGGGGACTGTGCCCTCCCCTGCAGCTCTGCTGCGTCTCCCTCCAGCTCAGCGAATCCAGAAATCACCATCACCCCTGCAGAGCTCAGCCACACCAGCCCGCCTTCCCAGGACCAGGGAGGGGATGACGGCAGCTCGGCATCTTCCAGGAACTCCTCGGGAGAAGGCCAGGAACCCGAGTCACCCCTGCAGGAGGACCCAGCGGAGCCCAGGACACCCTCCGCGCCCACGGCTCTGGGGGCTGAGCGCCTGTTCCTGGAGAATGCAGTGGCCCAGGCCCTTCTGCAAGAGTCGGACGAGGCCTCGGAGCTCAAGCCTGTGGAGCTGGACACTTTTGAAGGGAATATCACCAAGCAGCTGGTCAAGAGGCTCACCTCGGCCGAGGGGCCGGCAGCCACAGAGCGTCTGCTTTCTGAGGACTCGGCCAGTGGGGAGTCCTTCCTGGATGGCAGCTTGGAGGACGCCCTGAGTGGGCTGTTCCTTGCTCTAGAACCACATAAGGAGAAGTACAAGGAGTTTCGGGATCTGAACCAAGAGGTCATGCATTTGGATGATATTCTAAAAGTAAGTGCCTTTTCCGAGAAATTGGATCAGGTGTGCAGAGAGCTGTCCTAGACCAACTGTTAAGATGGCATATCTTTCTTCTTCCCCTCCCCTCCGCCTCATCCTTCTCCTCCTCCTCCTAAGCCCTATCCAGTCACAGGATCAAGAGGTAATCATCATGTAAATGGCAGTGATTATTGATGCCACTTAGACATATCCACTTTTATTTCCCTGACAACAGATCAACTTCACTAAACTGATTAGGAGCTCGTTTAAAAGCTCATAAGACTGTCTAAACCCTTCTAGTCCCAGAGCTCATCATTGTGATCCTAAATGTGAAACGCTGGCACAGTAACCAGCACAGCCTCACAGATGTTACTGGACAGGGTCCCTCTCGGGAAATAGAGGAGCCCTCCCCTGGTGGGAGTCCCAGCTGGTCAGCCCCAGCGTGAGAGCCACGGCACCCTGTCCTCCAGCGGTGATCCCTGATAGAAGAAACCTCCCATCTGCAAGTCGGGACCCCAGGTCAGCACTTAGTCAGCCCTCACACGCTGGAAGCCAGGGAAGGCCAGAGTTCACCAGAGAGATTTTTCTCCATCCATGGGGATCCGCTGAGAGTAAGGGGACGGATTCCTCTTGGGTGGGAGGTCTGAGAACAAGATCCTCATCTCTGCTACATCAGAATGGATCCGTCTTACCCCGGCATGTGGATTAACATTTTTTAAAATGCCGCACATGAAGACAGAGCTTGAATTTGTGCCCTGAGTCGCACTGCCACTGCTTGTATTATTGCTTTCCGACTCTGATTCTTATGAGCATATAGAAGGGAACTTGGATCCTTTTTCTTGAAAGAGCAACTCCATGGGGACCTGTCCTGTTGAACAGGCCTAAGAGTGAGGCTGCAGGCTGAGAATCGGCCACAGGAGGCGGCCGCAGCAGTTTTCAGAGGCGGCCCTGCCAGTGGCGTCGGGAACTCCATTTCCCAGGCTTTCCTGACCCTCTCATCCCTCTCTGTCGAGTCCCACTGACCCAGCCCTGGAGAGGACTTGTGCCCTCCTAGGTGATTAGTTAGCCTCTGACTCTGCAGGTGCTCAAATGCTGGTGACAGGTTAGCTCCACTGTGGACGTAGCTCTGAGAAACAGGGAGGGGCATGGGAATCTGCTTTCAGTACTCGTAGCTCAAAGCCCCATCTGAGGCCTTGGGCATGGAGGCTGCTGATCCGATCCTGCACTGAGCATCTTTTCTGCACAGTTGACCGCCTCTGCCTTGTGAGCCGAAGAGCTAAGACACAGGGCTGGCTGTAGCTCAGTGGAAGAGCACTTGCCTAGTATTTAGGAGGTCCTCGGCTCAGTGCCCAGCCCACAGAAAGAAAAGACCTCAGGCATGAACTGACCCTACCTAAGCAATGCCTTTAGCAAGCCTGTGGGGGTCGCAGCTCCGTTCCAGGGGTCCAGGATGCTGCTCGTCCATCCAGAAGCAGTACGCACGGCAACCATTAGTCTGTTCGAAAGGCTGGAGCTCATGGATTCCTTTCCGTTTGTTCTAAAACTTGCTAGTGAAATCCTCAATCACCCCTTTCTTCTTTATAGATGATACCTAAACCTACCCATCCTCTACAAGATCAGGTTGTACAGAGGGCTAGCTTAGGAAAGAAGAGCCCAGACGCAGGTCGAGTCCAAATAGCTCTCTGTCTCCCCTTGAGATTGAAGGTGTCCAGAGGGTTTGGGGCAAGTGGCTTGGCATCCAGCCAGAGTTAAAGCAGCAGCTGGACAAAGCTCTCTCTCCCCCCCCCCCACATTCCTAGGGTGCTAAAACATCTTGAGGATCAGAAACTAAACGAAGCTGCCTCTTGGACGGAGACCCCTGAGGGCCAGTGGAGCCACTGTGATTTAAAGCAGCGACAGACGCTTCCCCTGTGCTGTTGGGCCACCCTAAGTGCCCGAGACAGAGCCCTGCAAGGCCCCTCCTGCCTTGTGCTGGGAACTCATCCAGCAGTGCCAGCGAGCAGCGTGGAGGACACGCAGCGCGCCTCCCTGGCAGGACTTGACCCCTTCCGTCCTCCGCAGCGTCCTCTTGAGCCTTTGGCGTCCTTGTCCCCTCTCTGTGCCTGTCACCCTGGTGTCATCTTCGGGTCATGTTTCTGCACATGTCCTGCCACACAGTCTCAGGCCCCACGTCCCAGGGCCTGGCTAAGCTCAGGGAAGTGAGGCTGCTTCCCGTTGCGCCCATATCACTCATTCGGCCCCCGGTGCCCAAGAAGCCACATGCTGTGCCTGTGACCTCAGCTGTAGGCCTTCTCCATAGGGAGTGTGGACTCCGTGATCAGAGTGGCTTTGTGTGCTGGGACTTGCCTCCAGGACTCCCTGGAGAGCAGGTGCTTTAGATAGACAGCTCTGGTCTCAGGACTTTGAAGACATGGTCTCTTGAAATTAGAGATTGGAATCAGCACTGACTTGGTGTCCCTTAAATTTTATCTGCTGGGTTTTGATTTGTTGAGTTTTTTGGAGACTGGGTCTCACTGTGTTGCCCCAGGCTGGTCTTGAACTAGTGAGCTCACGTGATCCTCCCGCCTCAGCCTCCCGAGCAGCTGGAACTATAAGCATGTGACCCTGCACGGGGCTGGCTGGCTGTGTGTGATCTGGGGATGAGCACGAGGTAGAGGGGAATATAGCCTTTCTGTTTCCCAAAAATTTCTGGTTGACATTTCTAAAAATGTTTATTATAAAAATTCCAAACACAAGTGGATGTGCCCATCCCCTCAGCCACAGTGGTCCTCAACGGTCAGCTCATGGCCAGTCTTGTTTTATCTGTTCCTCTACCTGTGTGTTTCTCTCTGGATCATTTTGGAACAAACCCCAGATATTGTGCCATTTTTACCTGTGGTTGTACTTCTTTTTGGAATATGGAGATTTTAAATGCCAATAAAAAATAAAAGCTTGACAAAGGAGAGCTGAAGTGTGGCCTCTGGCAGGTGCCGGCTCCCCCCTGCAGGTGTGCTTATGTCCCCGGTGCCTTCTGCCTTGCAGTGCAAGCCCTTGGTGAGCCGCAGCCGGTCCTCCAGCCTCAGCCTCACGGTGGAAAGCGCTTTAGAAAGCTTTGACTTCCTCAACACCTCTGATTTTGATGAGGAGGAGGACGGGGAGGAGGCGCGCCGTGGCGGCGGTGCTGACTCCGTGTTCTCAGACACCGAGCCCGAGAGGAGCAGGTGAGTGGGACAGGGCACCGTGTGCACCCGCGGGGACCAGCGCACAGCTCCCGCGCGTCCCTGCTCGCGGCACTTGGCTCCTTTTGCCAGTCAAGCACAGCTTCACCTCCCCGGGGTAGCTTAAGGGAGAACAGATCTCTTTCCCTCCCAGAAATGAGGGGATGGCTGGATGAGTCCCGTGTGTGTCCTGCGTATGCATGTGGTCTGCAGCCTGCCGGGCAGTTCTCGCCAGCCAGCTGGGTGCACTGCTTGAGAACTGCGGACCGGTCCCACCAGGAGCCCTCTTCCTTCCCGGCCCTTGGCTTTGCTGGGCTTTGCTCTGCCTGCCCCTTCAGCCCAGCGAGTCTTCAGATGGCTAAGCTCCTCCAGGTCCTGTCACAACCAATAACTGCCATTATCCACAGTGGGGTGGAAAACGTGACCTCTGGGTGGGGGAGCATGGTCCTGGAGCAGCTGAGCCAGTTCTCAGAGCCAGGTCCTGGGGGCATCTTGTGATTTCAGACCAAGGCAGACAAGCCCCATGGGCATACCTGCCCCTCAGTCACCGAGAAAGACACACAAACACTCCCCCCAGGAAGGGGTGCATTGTGCCTTTGGGACAATGTGACATAAATACATCTTCAAAGCTCTGTTCAGTCTTTACAGCTCTCTTTGTGGGAGGTGTTATTGTTTGGGGGTTCTGTTGTTCCTAGAAGGTTTATTTTTCTAAGATAAAAACAACAACAAAGAAAAATACAACGTGAGAACTAGAATTTATTCCTTGAGCAAACTGGGAATAAAATGAAAGCCAATTTAATGAGTGAATGTAATACTTAAGTTCTGCTTCTGCCTATTGTCTAGCTTGACTGAATTGGCGTAATACTTCCTCACTAAACTTTTCTGTAACTCATTAGCTATGTGACACATCACAGCCAGGCATCCATCTAAACTATTTTTCTTCTTGCTAAAGGAAGCGTTTAATAACAAAAACATTATTGCTTTTGAACAGTTTACAGAACATTAAGGTTAAATGTATCTAACTCAATCAGTCTTACTGTATATTATCAGAATTATTACAAAAGAACTCTGTGTGCGTGCATGTGTGTGTGTGTGTGTGTGTGTGTGTGTGTGTGTGTGTGTGTGAACCATGTGTCAACCACCTGGACACAGCTGAGCATCTTCCCCTGGAGGCAAATGGGAATCAGAGCAGAGCCCTCCAAGCTGCTGAGCTGAGTGAGGGTCTCTGCATGGTGGGCACTGAGAAAAGAGCAGGAGGTGAGAAGCAGAAGCTGCCTGTTGGTGACCAGGACACTCTCCAGGCTCCCTGTTCCATCCTCCCAAGCACAGATTCACTTTAAGAATAAAATGGGACAACATCAGTGCCATCATGATAAGACCTCAGACAGGGGGACGTGGGGCTTGCACAGAGCAGGAGGCAGGACTCGGCTGTGCTCCGAGCACTTGGACACCCTCTAGCTTCTGTCCCCAGTAGAGCGTCTCCTCTTTCCTCCTGGCCTCCCTCTTTTTGCCTTGTCTTCAAGAAGCCATTGATCTGGGGCCAGGAAAAGGCCGTGATAGATTATTCCTTCATGCCATTACTCTTGGGAAACCACTGATACACAGGACACCTTAATGCCAGGAAATCTGGCAAACCGCCCTGTCAACAGAGCAGGAAAGTGGGACAAACACACAGTGAGGGCCCGACTCAAAGCCCTCGGGAGACGCCTCGCACATGGCTCGCTGCTGGAGATGCAACGGAGACCCTAGGGCAGTGCATTTGCCAGGTCCTCTAATGCTGGGCCGGTCAGCAGCAGGCTGAGTGGTTGCTTCTGAAAGGCCCTCTGCTTTTCAAAGGAGGCGAGGGAAAGAGGAGTCAGTGGGCGCGTGGGGCCTGGTGCCAGCCTGCCGACCTGGCTCGTGGTCTGTACACAAACTGAAACGGCTCACGTCTCACCCACCCCCTGCTTCACCAGTTACAGGTCGGTTCACCCAGAAGCCAGGGGGCATCTTAGTGAGGCTCTGACCGAAGACACAGGCGTGGGGACCAGCGTGGCAGGCAGCCCCCTCCCGCTGACCACCGGGAACGAGAGCCTGGACATCGCCATCGTGCGGCACCTGCAGTACTGCACCCAGCTCGTTCAGGTGGGAAGCCAGGCTGCTTAGGTGGCAGGAAAGCAGGCCTCCAGCTTTGGTTTTGCAGGGAAATGAGAATTTGGGAATAAGAGAACAACCCTGCTCTGATATAAACCACCTCAAAAACTCTGATGGCGTGCCCTGCCTTCCTCACCCCGGTTTCCTATCTCAGAACCCAGATCCCCAGGCCTTAAAAGGTAGCAGGTAGAATATGATATGTTGGCTCTTCTGAATCCCTTGGCAGTAGATGAGGGGACTGGGATTAAGGGAAAAGGTATTTGCATCCAGAGGGAGTGGGAAAGCCAGCGTTAGTGAACATGTGTTGACATCAATGTCACAGGCATGTCCCGCAAGAGCGGAGAGCACATGCTGAAGACTGCACCTGCCTTACCCCAGGTCTGGAGCTGGCAGCTCCTGCGAGCAGTGGGCAGCCATGTTCCTCTGGTCCTCTCACCACCACTGAGCCCTCGCTCTGGCGCAGCATAGAGCTGATTCTTCTTCTCATTTCAAACTCTGCCCCTCAAGGTTTGCAGCAGAGGAGCTGAGGTCTTGAAATGTTTTCCAGGACACTTTCAGCTGCCCCAACGAACCTTTGCCCAAGGCCTCTACTTAAACGCTTCCTCCTGGCCTGGTGGCCTCTCTTTCCCCTCTTGTTCCTCTCTCAGCTTGCTGGATGTATGTGGAGCAGGGTAGGACGGGGCGGGGGGCTCGGCCACCCAGGAGGGTGCTGGCAGGAGAGGAGCTGAGGTCTTGGGAGCAGGAGCTGGCCTGGCAGCAGAACAGGGGCAGAGTCGGGGAGCCTGGGCCCTGGGGCAGCATGGCCTCCTTAGTGCCACGGCTGGGATGAGAGGGAGACGATGGTGTTTTCCACACCTAGGAGAACTTTCCATGGCCACAGGCAGCTGGCGTGCTCTGGGAAGCTGGCTGGCAATTACAGCTCGGCCGGCCTCCTATTTGATCTCTGCTGTTAGGTGTCGAGGTTACAAACCACGATACCAAAAACCATCCTGGCACAAAGTGTAATATTCTTCTCTGATCAAAATGGACAAGCGTTTTTTTTTTTTTACTTACGGCTATTCCCTTTGAATGGGATGGTTTTCATATCTCTTTGTCCTTGCTGATGCTGATACCATGCAGAGCAAACCACCTATTTACCTCTTAGAGGTAAAATAGTTACTTTCAGAGACATAAGAATTATCTTCCATGACAGGAGAGGTTTTCCTCCCAAAGACTGATCAACCCAAGTCTTCTTTGGGAAAGAGCCATGCTAGAAAAACAGAGGGGGGGGGCATAAATACGCTCACTGAAGGAGGGGCGAACGCAAACCTGACTCACTTGCACTCACTCCTGAGTTGGTGGGTTCACTTGTTTGGTATATGATCATAGATAAAAATGGGCCTTCCCAAAGAAACCTACTCACTATCAATGTTTTTTTTAAATAAATACGCTTCTGTTTTACTCACTTAACAAGAAAGACTGTAGGACATGCTTGCTAGGCTTTGGTTTGAAGTGCTATTTGTTTAGAGTGGGACTGCTCTAGAGGGCACAGCCTGGGAGCACGTCCCTGTGTCCTGCCCTCCTCTGTGCCTAGTAGGTGGCCAAGCAGGTCCTGAGAGGCACAGAAGGGCGAGGGATGTCAACACCAAGGGACTTACGTCTCCCTTCTTCTGCCTCCTTGTGCTGGTGAGGGCACATGAGTAAAAACACCACTCGTAGGACACTGGGCAGATCACTGAAGTAAAATGGGGACATCAATAGGACTGCCACATGGGGTGGTGGTGAGAAATAACGTGGACTAATGCACACACGGGGCGGAGGCTGGTGCCAGGCCCACAGGAAGCACTCACTAAGCGTGGTGAGAGAGCTCAGATTGCAATCACAGTTCTTAGACAATCTTGAAAACAAAAAAAAACAAAACCACACTAGGAAAATTGACTGCATTTTGCCAAACAGATCTTTTTCTGCTCGCACACCGAGACACCACCTAAGTGAGCTGAGTTTCTAAGAGGAGGAGGTTTATGATACAGAGAAGGGAACGCAGCTGCACAGTAGCTGGCAGTTCTACTGCTGATAAAGTGAGCCAGGCATCTGGGGCACACCTGTCGTCCCAGAGACTTGGGTCTCAAGTTCAAACCCAGCCCCAGCAACTAAGCAAGACCCTGTCTCAAAATAAAAAATAAAAAAAAGTTTAAGGTAGCACACCCAGGTGTGACGTGGACAGCTGTTGTGCCTGGCAGGGAGGGGAGACGTCACTAGGATGGACCAACAGCCCTGCGTGAGTGGAAGGAGGCGCTGGGAGCAGGAGCTGAAACAGCCATTTTGTTTGTTTTATCAGCAAGTTGTCTTCTCCAGCAAAACCCCCTTTGTGGCAAGAAACCTCTTAGAGAAGCTTTCGAGACAGACCCAAGTGGTGGAGAGACTCTCGGCTGTCAGTGATGAGGAGGCGGGGAGCCTGAGCTCTGTCGTGCAAGGTGAGCCTCTGTCCCCGGGGCACGGCACTGTGTCCTGCCTCTCCCTGCTGCTGGCAGGGGCGTGGGCACCCCCGCCCACCCACTGCCCACTGCTCCCGGCTGTGTCAGGAAGACAGGGAGGCGCCTGGGCTGCGGGCTCCGGTCAGCCCCCACACACTGGCGTCTTCTGCAGGGCCTCCCTCGGGAGTGAACAGAAGCAGCATTACCCCAGGCAGGTCCAGGAGGGCCCCTTCAGACAGATGACCAGGACTCTGGCCATGCAGCTGGCCCAGTCCCCCATAGCGCTGTCCAGGGGCAGAGGTAGACAGAGGTGGGCTGAGGCCTGCAGGACAGGCCCTGGCTCTGAGTCTCGGCCGCTGAACTGAGGTGTGGAGGCGCCTCGCGCTCCTGTGGTCTGGCCCTGGGAAGAGTTTCTACTTTCACATCAGAAGGAGGCAACAGAGTCTTCTGGAACCTCCCTCAGGCCTGAGCCTCTGTGGGGTTTTCCCTGTTGTGTCTGCCTCAAGGGTAGCTCCTGGGAGCAGGGCACTTGACGGGCCCTGAGAGGCATGAGAAGGGACAGATATTCAGGCTGCAAGCAACTGTCCCCTCCTCTCCATCCCACTGTCTCAGCCACACAGCAGTACAGCAGTGACACACTCAGCTGCACGCTGTTGTCCACTCTGCTGTGTGAGGCCACCCGGCAGGGTGAACTCCCCTGGCCACCATGGCTGCATCCCATGCCTTTCAGGAAACCTGGGGAGTGAGGGTCCTGATCCTGTAAGCTAGGGGCCATGAGATGCCTGGGTGACTCCAGGGGAGAGCCGCTGTGCCCTCTGTCACTAAGGCAAACAGCCCTGTTTTTCTGTTGTCCTCGCTCCCGGGCAGGAAGCTTAATCCTCCTGTCCTTGTCCACCTGCCAGCTGCAGAGGACTCCTGTCCCAACTGCAAACCCCTCAACAAAACAGAGCCCTGACAGCGCCTGCCCGCCCCACCCAGGGGCCCAACTTCGTTGTCTTCATTTAACGTGTGCCCTGGGAGGGCTCCGCTCTTCTCTTCCAGCCATCCCAGAGTTTCACAAAAAGCTGTCTCTGCTGTCCTTCTGGACCAAGTGCTGCGGCCCGGCCGGGGTGTACCACAGCTCTGCCGACAGGGTGATCAAGCAGCTGGAGGCCAGCTTTGCCAGGA